ACCACGAAACATTCAGTCACAATAACCCGACAAACCATTTCTTTAATCGATTATGTCTCCATTCAATGTGTTTTATTAGTAAGGCTGATAAAATAATGCATTGCCAACTGTTATGAAAAAAGCTCGCGCCGCTATTGAGTCGAAAAAATCGTATGCTAAAGACGCCAGCTCTCGGCACCGTTGGCTCGTTCGTTGGCGGCAGTTGGCATCGCGACCGTTTGCTCCATCTCTTGTCTCCCGTGCGAAACGGCGCTGTATTGTTTGAAGACCGGTGGCTTCGCTGCGTTTCCATAGGAGCTAAGCCTTCTTCTTTCTTTACTTTTTCCTCAGGTAAGTTCGCTCTTTGCGAATTTCGCAAAAAAAAAAAAAAAAAAATGCACCATTGGTGGGCAACGCTGCACAACATCGTAGCGCGATAGGTTACGAAACCGAATTTTGCGGTCGATTTAAAGAGCCTGGCCGCTCCTTGGGATACCCAGCAGATGAGTAGAGGCAACGAAGAGGAGGTTGGAGTGCTGGTGGAAATTATCTAGGGAAATCTCAACGAAGTACAACTAACTAGCACAGCTGGGGGACAGGTGGGACAGAAGAAAATTGAGACTTCCTCCCGCGTGGCTCCGGCTTGAAGTCTCAACCCTGTCCTCCTGTGAGACTGGTTAATGTGACGCCGACAAGGTGCGACCAGAGCAAAATCGACGACTCCACCGGTGGGAGGAGAAGCAGCAGATGATGTTTTTAGTTTTATTTTATTTTTTTTGCCAGATACCCCAAAGGTATGCCTGGCGATCATCTATCATAACCTGGTGATAATTAGCGAAACGAATTAGCTTGAAAGGTGAAATAAGTTTTTTGTTGTTGTTTTTAGGCTAGGTGGCGCAAGCTAAGCCCCAGTATAAAGGGTACAGCCGTTATTATCGATCCATCCGTCGATCCATTTATTTGGACTTGAGCAAAGCCTTTGACCTTGCGCACCATGATCTATTCGTGCAGAAGCTATCGGAGTGCGGAGTGTGTGTGCCGTTCTGTTTGTGGCTCAGTCATATTTTTCCGGCCACACTAATAATGTTCGAGTTAACATTGTGTTATCGAGATGTACATATAATTATCTGGCGTCTCTCGGCATTCCATTTTAGGACCCTTGTAGTCTCATATTTTTGACAATTATCTCTTTCATTCTGTAAAACATTTAAAATTGCTTCAGTTCGCTTATGATGTTAAGATCTTCAAACAGATCTTATTATACGAGGATTACAAGCTGCTGCAGGAGGAACTAGCTGCTATCTCGTTAGTGTGTGGTTAACGAATATTACTTTTAAACCGGGGTCTTCAAACGTTTTGGCTGAGGGGCCAGATAGGGAGCCTGCCGCAATCTCTATAGCCATAAAATCAATACGACAATTTAAATGAAGAAATACTAAATACATCAACCTTAAAACCATTAAGAAAAATAAGCTAGAGCAAGAAAAAATGAATGGGACGAGGGAATACATGCATATACTTTAATTTTACAATCACTTTGTAGCTAGAATGGCATCGCAAATAAGTCGCAATATTAAATCAAAGCGCATGTAAACTATGGCATATTCATAAAGGGCAGAAGATATGATACTGGTATACATCGGATGATGACAATATGCGTGAGTTGTGAAGCAGGATACTAGGCGCCGTATACATGAGAACGCAAGCGAATTTTATCCTAGTTACACAAACATAAAGCTGGAAACTACGAAATATAATGCTGGTGATGGCAATGTATAATAATTAATATTACGATTTGCCCTCGTTTCGATGAACCAGTTTCCTCTCAATATTTCTGATCCCTACTTCGTCTGCGATTTTGGTGCGCGTCGCGGAGTTATTTTGTACCTGATGAGCGCTTATTTCTGGCGTTTGTAGCAGCGGGCCGCGGGTCGCGGGCCGGGAGTTCAAACTAAAAAGGCCGCGCCATTCGCGGGCCGGCAGATACGCTTCCGTGGACCCGATCTTGCCCGCAGGCCGGGGTTTGGTGACCCCAGGTCTAAACGGTAAAGGGGTTCGTTATATCTCTATCACGCAAAGAACGTACGCTTAGTTTTGTAAATATAAACTAGGCAATTAATTATTGCGACGTCAAATAATTACGTGACTTCCGAGCTTATATTTATTAATCCTTTAGTTTTATTATTCATGTGTCAAATTTGTTTAGTTTCTGTTTGCGACTTTTAGGAATACTTGTTCAACCCATCATATCAAAAAACCGTCATGTTTCTTCAGATTTTCCACCTCCATTGTGTGTTGGAAGCTGCAGTTCGGCTCCGTAGTCTGGAATTGTCTAGGATTAAGTATCTCTGAGAATCCAGAGGTATGCAGAGAAAATATAGGCACGCATTATATAGAGAGCGCGACACTGCTAGCGCGAACAAGCGAACGCCGGTTTTCTCAGGTTTTCTCTTCGAAACCAAGGGATGTCATCCAAGTTATGATTGCTACAGAAAGAGCTCATTTGGTTCTGTAATGTAAGCGATAACATTGCGTGCTCGATTATACTATTTAGAAATACAATGCGAAAATGCGCCGATGTCGTGTTCGCACTAACAGTGTCGCGATGCGTACGACCGTTATTACGGCTGCCGGTTCTTCTTTAGCTGCGAGTCAATGTTGCTTAGGCCAAATCTGCAAACACTGATAGCTCGCCGGAGTTTTCGAGATGTTCTATTCTTGTATAAAACTGTACAAAGCAGAATACGTTGTCGGAGAGTTGTTTGTATGCTTTATCTACATGTCCCTTGAGTGAACTGTCGTCACCACAACGCATTCTACGTGCAAGACATGTGTTTATTTTCCCCTATTTTAAGAATTCAGAACAATTTCAGCCTACTCTGCGCGGTGGAACTTCATCTAAGGATGGGAGTGGCCAAGTATCGTAATGCTAATAAAAACGGGATCTGTTAGTCGTTTTTCACAGCACCGTAGTTTTTTTTTTTTCGTGGATCAAAGAAACAGGTGTGCAACAACGTAATTTCTGAAGATTGTTCCTTCTTTCAAAGGCCCAGGGGAAGAAGGTGGTGGTGATATGGTTTAAGGTAAAGAAAGCGCGCCGGCGAGCTGGTTCAATGCTGGCATAGTAACTCAGAAAAAAAAGGGGGGGGGGGGGGGGAGGACATAAATCTCCAAACACAGCAAATGTGTGGCGCTTTGCGTTGTCCGTCCAGTTTTTCCCCCGCTCCTGGGTTACCATCGTATTGATATTTTTTGTGTTAATCTGAAGTCGGGTATACGTGCCCTTTACGGAGAAAGGATCACGTCAAACGCTGATTGCCGATTATCTGCGAGTCTGTCGCCTGATCGTGCGTCCTTCCTGTAATCTTAGTATACTTTAAAAAAAAAATACAGTTGATTCTTGAGCAACATCAAATGAAACGTGATCTGTAAGCTCAAAGTCATGTCGAGTTTGTGAAGCCCGTGCAGCAGTCACCGACGCCATAGAAATGCCGGGCGTAGCTTATGATGTTCACCCCCCTCACTTCCTGATTCATTCATCGTCGTTGTTATCATTTAAAACGCGGCACCTTCATTGGCTGCGTAATAATATGCACGGGAGTTTCCTGCGTTTTCTAAGAAGTCATCAACTATAATAAATCTTCAAACCACTCGGTCTTGTACACTTCAGTCCAGAAAAGTCATCGTTTACAATTACAATTTGTCTTGGTTAAAAGGTAGTCAAAAAGATTCTTCGATTTTTTTATATAAAAGCAATTGGGCGTTACTTGAAAAATTATACTTGAGATTTTCAAAACGACAAAATGTTCTCACGTTTTAAGAACGGGTCTTTTGCACCTTCCATTATTTAATTAGAACCACGTAAATATGAGTTGCTTATCCTTTGGTAAACCTTCTTCCTGTGAGAGACTTGGTTCAGGGATTTCTCTGTAGAAAACTTGTAGAAACCGAGGGCGCCATTAGAAAGAGTTGGAGCGCTTACCAGAGTAATAGGGGTACTCTTGTGATTACATTCTAATAAATGTATGGAATGATTGCAAAATTTCTTCAAGAAGCAATCAATTACAAGAAATGTGATCACTCGTGATGAGTACTGTGCAAGTCTGAAAACTCCCGCAGGAAAGGCTGGTCATGCAGTGTTCGCAGCTCAGGCGATAGTGATGACGCCAGGGCCAAACACGATGGCACTTTTGACCCTGAGCTAGTCCTACAACTCCTCTCTCGTAAATAAATTTTTACCGGTTATAATTTTCCCTAAAGGAAGAAAAATATCATTAAGAAATGGTGCACGTTAAAAGCACGAATAGATTGCGGCATAAAGGAACGCCAAAGACCAAATCACAAAGGAAAAAGTGGGATTGTAATGGGAGACGTCCTGCTTTTAATAAGCTCTCAGTCGACATAAAATTAAAAAAAAAAGACGCGTTGGAGCTTTCGATTTTAAGATTTCTACCAGTTGCGATAGTCACTGCCTCCTTAAAAAACGCGGGGCATGGCTTATAATGATCACAATTTTTTTATTTGTGATTAGTTACTCGGTATCACCATCGACCGACGCGGCCATCTCATTTACATCGAAGCGTCAATAAGAGGCTCAAGACCCACCCTGCCTTGTATTTCTTAAACTGGGAGTGACAATTGCTACAAATATCAGGGTGAATACGAGGCTTCATCCGGGATATCTCATTTCGAAATAAGGTTTCGCAGATGCCGCGCGAGATTCCGACTGGTGGTCGGAAATTTGAGCTAACATTGACCTGGATTCCTAGGCCGAACCGCCACAGCGACCAATGTAACTTGGATATCCGGTGACAGACTGCTCCGTTTGCAAGAATCATTTTACAGTCGCAAGAGATGCGACCTCGAAAAGCGCCGGGCTTGTATTTCAAGGTCTTCCCGACGCAGACTCAGATAAGTAATCTGACTTTGCCCCACAAACGAAATGGGGTCATCTTCTTAGTGTTCTTAATTTTTTTTGTTTTTTTTATTGAGAAAGGGGAAAGTCAAGCTAGTGAAAACCAACTGCTGGCTGGGGTACTTGAATATCTCGGGCTGCGGCTGAAGATTATCACGCGAATTTCTCCGTCCGCGCAGCAAAGATTGTGTGAGCGTCCGGTTTTCGAAAATCATCTCGGTCTTCACACTTCAAAGGAGGTACTCATCTTTGCTTTTATGAATTGCTTCCATTAAGGCATTTTAACTTTCTTTGCATGTTATCTGCCTTCGTGGTAAAACAAAAAAGGGACGACACTTTTAGGAACCCATAACTGTGTGCCACGTTTACGTGTGTATTTTCCATAGTTACATGGTAGAAAAATATTGGTGGGTGAATTTTTTTAATACTCTATTTTGTCCTCAGGTTATCAAGACCGGAAATGCTTTGGTGCGGGTTCCTATTTCTTGGAGCGCTGGGTTATGGTAAGAAAACCGATTTTGCTCAACTTTGGCATATATTAAAAAAAATGATGACTATTTTGCTAACCCAATCTCGGGTGATCTACACATCGAGTGTCAAGCGTTTTCTAAAGTCTCGGCGTACTCAGGAGTTACAAAAAAGATCAGGGGACTGAGAACTAGAAGAAGCACGTCACTTCCGCTGTAAGCATAAATTAAAGTTTATGACGTGACTTCTCGCAATTATGGGACTTTATAACTCCAAGCTGCAGAATGCGGTCCGTCCTTTTATTTGGAGAAGTTGCATTTCAATCGCGCTCCCATCAGGTTCAAACAATTAACAGCGACAACGAGAAATTTTATTTTCTTTACATCTGACACATTTAAACATTTGGTGTGCCAGCTTGCGTAAACGCCAGAAGTGAAAGACTCTCATAGCCGCGGGTTTGACATATTCTGCAACTTTTATTCTTAGCCCACGCGGCCACGGTCAACGAGGCAAACAACTTTGTGGACACCGTTCTCAGCCAGAGACTCCCACTCGTCGTCAGGCAGTCGCCGTCCCTTTTCCCTGAAGCCCATATCCCTGTCTTCAGTTTTTTGGTAAGGCATTTTGGAAGATCCTACGTCATTATTCAAACAGCTGTGCCACTGCTAAGTCCTCATACGAAAGCCATTCCGCGGACACCGCATGAGTCATAGTTTTTTCCCCGTATGACAGCCTTGTCAGACTGGTCATGAGAACTCATTGCAGACATGTTCGAAGCTTACATATGTATGTAGTTAAACATGAATCGAACATATCTGAGGCATCACGTCAGCAGCGAATGCACGATGTATGGGCGGTGCGACTACGCCTTTACAGTTAGCACGCTACCGAAAGATATATACCAATCAAACTTCCTACGGGCGCGCGCATTGTTCTTTTACTGCTCAATGACTGCACATTTGTGTGTGCGTGTGTGTGTGTGTGTGTGGCAGCACGAGAAAGTTTTTCCTTTCATCCCTCATCTCTCGACAATTATTGTAGACGGCAAAGCCATCGGCCAGCTGACGGTGGCTTTGTCTTCACGTCAGTTGTAGGCAAGAACTGGTACTTTTCGTTTGATGCGTTAGCATTAGAATGCTCGTTTTGACGAAAACCCGGCGGTGTCTTTCGTTTGTCAGTTGTCGCGTGTGTGACGCTCCTATTGGTCCGATGCGCTGACGTGAGCACGCGTCAACCTCTCCCTCTCTTCTCGGCTCTGACAAACTGACAGACACCGCCGGGGTTTTGTCAGAACTAAAGTCCCATGATACTTCTTTTATAAGTGTAGTAGGCCCAAATCGAGGGGTGTACTGGGGGTTTATTCCAATACAGCAGGTCAGAGGGACATGACCAGCTGCCAAGATTCCACCTCGCCGAAGAACGGAATGCACCCCTCGACTCGGGCCTGCTACACCGCCGAAAAGGAGAGCTCGAACCTTTATCAGATAAGGTTTCAAGCTTGTCTCGATGTCGCTAAGGTCACTGCCGACGCGGACAAGGGAAACTTATTGATTGCTTCAATTGGTCCTGAGATATTCAAGCTGGTATACTCCCTAATTCCATCCTCGTCGCCAGTGTAGTAGGCCCGAGTCGTGGGGTGTACTGATGGTTCATTTTAATACAGCAGGTCAGAGGAACATGACCAGCTGTCAAGATTCCAGCTCGCCGAAAAAGGGAATGCACGAGCTCCCGTGTCCAAGCTCGTGCTCTGCTGACAAAGAAGACGATGGTCTTTTTGCAGTCACCACAATAAGTGACGACAACCAATCCAAATGACAAAGCACATTCCGCCGGGACGGAATGGCGGCATTCAGTTCAAACCTTTGCTGTGTGCCGCCATTCGCTTCCTAAAACCTGCACCGTCACGCAGTCGGCGCTTCAAAAAATGTCGCTACTTGTAGGAAGCTCTTATCTAGAGAGTTTAGTCAAAACGAGTCCTTTCGTTTTCGACAGTCACACGCACAGCTGGTGCCGAGCCAGAGAGGAAGAGGCGCCGCGCAACATCTCCTAAATAACATAGCCGTAGTGCTGAATGAGATGGCGTCACCAGAGAAGGCCAACGCTGGAAACAGATTAGAAACGAGCGCGCGTCAACTTTCGGCTTCCAGTCAAGTTTGAGCCGAGTGTTGACGCAATCGTCGTGTCCAATTTGTGCCCAGCGTTGGCCTTTTCTGATGACGTCATTTCATTTAGCACTAAGGCTTTGTTATCTAGGAAGTATGACGCCGCGGCGCGGTGGAATGCGGGCGTGCTCAGTAGCCGCTCTGTGGTCGACGGTTGTTCTTCCCTCAGGTTTTCCGTAGCAGCGGTTCTTGGGCAGTATTGTGTGTGTGTAGTTAAAATTTCGATAGGCGCGGTTTAATCTACGAGTGATATTGATGCGGTTCCTTGCACGACTGGCGTGCACGTATACAGGGGGGGGGCCATACCCCCCCCCCCCCCCCCCCCCCCCCCGAAACAAACTCCTGGCTACGTGCCTGACGACTGGTATGGATGTGGTTATTTCCACGAGGTATATGGATGATTGTATGCAAGCGCTTCCACGTCCGCTGACAGGCAGTGTACAAAAGAAGGGGTTTAAAATCGAAAGATGTTTACGATTCTCAAGCAAGTAAATTGTGGTGTGTATGTTCATACAGCCGGAAGTTAGTCTGCCCCAGTGGGCGTCTGGTGTCTCAGCTGTAGATAAGCAATTTAGCCAGTGCGGTACAACCGCTAGCCTGGGGTCTTTAACGTGTACAACGCAGTAGTGATACAGTAGTGAATGCCGAATTAGAGCGCAGCTCTTGAGGAGGAGGGGGAAAGGTACGGAGGAGGAGAAAGGTGCGGAGGTGAATTTACCGGGAAATTGTTGGACAATTCCCGCGAAATTTGTCGAGAAAAAGTCCCCGCTAAATTCAGCGGAAAAAATTGTCCGCTAAAGTTTGCGGAATAATTTCCCCGCTAAATTTAGCTAAAAAAATTGCGGAGACATTTCCCCGCTAAATTTAGCGAAATGTTCCTCCGCACAATTTATCTGGGAAATTTCCCGCTAAATTTAGGGCGAAATTTCCTCGCACACTGTAGCGGAAAAATTTACGACAAATTTAGGCTTCGTGTGACGTGACGAAGAATACGCACATGTGACGTCACTCAGGGCCCTCGTGACGTCACGTGTGACGACAGTATGGGAAACTTGCCATAATGCGATGTCCGGTTACGCCGACGGCGACAGCGACGGAAGTGCCGCTAAAGCCGGAAGCGGCCGCTAAGAGCTGCGCTCTAAAACATTTCAGGAAGGTCTTTTGGTGGAATCTTGGGGAATCCGTTAGCATGGCCCTTGGAAACCGCCAAACACGTCTTCCTTTGGGAAACGCTCACACAGACCCCGTCACGAGGCCAAAAAGAGGCAGAAAAAAATAGAGGAAGCAAAAGAGAAAGCCGAAAGACAAAAGTGAAAGGATTAGTGAAGAGAGACGGGTGTGGCGTTTCCAAGGTCACGCTAATGCACTCCCGAAGAATCAACCAACGAATATTTCTGTATATTTTTACCAATTGCCTTTATTTGGACAAGTTAATCTCCCCACCTGCGAAGCCGACCATGTATTTTTTATACTACTTTCAATAGCCTGCAGTGAATTATATCTGTTGAGCTGCGAATGTAATTAATAGCAGTTAAAACAACATGTTCTTTCTCCTTTTTTTTTGGCGGACCCGATAGTGTTATTTATTTATTCTACCTTTAAACGCAGGTTCCAAATAACGCCTTCACCAACCGCGATCTCGATGTCAACATGACGGAGGGTGTGATTCATGGCCTCGACACCGCGTTGCGACGGATGGGCGACTGCCAGTCGAGGGATGTCAAGGATGGCTTTCCAAGCATCCTGTGCAACTTGGACCTCAACGAAGTCAATACCACGTTCCTGGCCCTGGTAAGAACTGCCAAGCTGCTTACCTACTGCCTCCTGGATTTAGAGGAAGAACGATAGTCAAGATTAACAATCAAAACGTACAGCAAACAAGGAAACAAATTAAAAAATGCCGAGCTCCGATTGGTTTTGAATGAAGAATAGTGAGTAGACCACAAGGCAGCTTGCCTTGAGATCTACCCACTATCCCTGAGTGAAAGCGTATCAGAGCTGGGCTTTCTAATGTCACCACAACCCCTGCGAAAGGCGCAGACAAGCTTGCGCTCCGTATAGCCTTGGTTCGTTGAAGGACACAATTCTGGAGGCACCCGCCACCCCTTTCCTACCCTAGTGGCGTTTTTGGCCAGAAAACATCGGGCGCCCTTGCGTGACAACGCGCGATAACTCGCACTCTTTTGGTGCTATGAAACAATACTCCAAAGAGGAACGTCCGGGATACCATCGACCAGTGCTCTTGAGAGAAAACGATTTGACTGCGTTCGTGTCAAAAGAAAGAAGTTTTAGGCATTTCCTCAACCTTGTGCACAATGATTCGAGAACGATAGATCCAGTTTGCCAATGGCTGCATATGGGGCAGTTTAGCACATCTCACAACAGTCGTTACGACTTCATGTAAAAACGAGCTGCCATGGCCCTACCAATCGGAGTGAACGACGTCTCCAAAATCGGGAGGACGCAATCACATCAGCCATTAACCGATTAACTTCACCATTTAATGAGCCGCGAAACCGATGAGCTGTCTGCTTTAGTAAAATCCTGAGAAGCTCAACATTACGTTTACACTGCCGTCGTCACGGGCTCCAATTACTGCCTGAAGGAATTTAAAAGTGATTTCGAAGTTAGATTCAATACTTTTCGAAAGTAATTGCAATATAATTACATTTGGTCTGCGGCCGTTCGTAATGCAATTTATTTACATTTGCGTATTTCTGAGAAAAGTAATGAGGTATGCAATTCAATTACTTTTGAAAAAGTAATTTTACCATCTCTGCCGTCGTGTTTTGACTGCGCATATTCACGTACGAAGGTCAGGAGACGCTGTAGCGTTATCTAAGGTAGTAAGCACGCGCTAGAGGCAGAACAACTGAAAGAGGTTGCAGCCATTCTTAACCTGTTAGTAACTGTAATAGTCTTGACAACCACCTTTCAGGCATGGTATAAAATTTTTTGAAGGCGGGGACGATCCTTGGAGACAGCATTGATGTTAGAGCACACGCCAAAGTGCGTTTGTGTACCGAACTAACTTTTAAAGCGGATTTCAATACCGATGTACAAACATTAGTTTATATCCTCAGCAAACTTCATGATACGGCTCTTGACACCATGTTCTTTCATTTCAGACGAGAGGCGACAACGTGGTGAGATCGCTGAAACATATCTGGGTTCACGTCGTCACGGTGGATTCGATCGCTCGTCTTGAGATCACGGGGTCTCAAACCCGCGAAGCATCACTCCGAACATTCGATGTCCAGAACCTACAATTTATAACCACCTACGACCGGGAACTGCATCTGAACACCGATCGTTCCAGGCAGTTCAAGGAACATGTTGAATTGAAGGTCAAGGAAGCCTTGCAAGATATCCTGCTGAATGAGATCAAGGTTCTGCTCAGCAGGTCCGTTGTCTCCATCGCTTTTCCGTGAGCCAAGGATCTCGCTCTCAGGCTCGCTAGCGAGATTTAGAATAACGTATGCAAAAAATAAGAGTAATCTCCGAGCGCCAATCCGAATCACGGCTTGGGCTTCGCGCACGCGCCGTAAAAATAATGCTATTTCCCAGCGTACCCAATGCTTGTCCCTGTGACATTCTAAAACCCACTATTATTTGTTTGTCTATGTAATCGCCTTGAGCACTTCCAAATCAATATTTATATTCTTTTTAAACGAGTTTCATTTACGTTGAGCAACACATTTCGTTTTTGGGGGTCTGGATGTTTTAGCTTTATGGTGAAAAATAAATATGTATTGGAAGTCATGACAATAAAATATACCAAATAAAGGCTTCAAATTCGTATTTTTTTATCTTTTCGCTAATGCGCGACTTTACACTTTACTGTGCTAGAACTCCGGATCGAATACATGTTCTTCGGTGGTATCAGCATCATAGTATTGTTCAGTTACAGATGATATCCAATCAAGCAGGAAAAGGCACTCTTTCAGGTGTTCACATTTCGACGAATTAAGTTGGTCGTCAGCGAAGGGATCTCAAGGAGTGTTTGTCAAGGTTGTAATTCAAATATAGGGGAATGTTATGTTTCCAGAAAAAAAAATATCTCGATAAAACTGTAAATAAATCATATAAATATGTAAAAATAGCGAAAAACATATTAGGTAGTTAGTTGCATCAAAGCTCAAACCGAGTCTAGTGGAGGGATTGCCTACTAATATTTCAAATAGTGTCAAAAAAAAACAAAAACCGAATTGTTTTTACGGAACTGCTGCAAAAGGTTATGACAGATGAAACTATGGCCTTTTTTATTTTTTTCATAACTCACAGTTTTAAGAGATGTCACAATAATGAGGAGCTTCCTGACAATGGCACTGGGAGCCCCTGGGCGCGGGCATGGACTCGCGTACGAAATTCCTCCATCCACTACCACCAAACAGAGAAGGCTTAATTGAGTCTTTCCCACACCAAACGTCATCCCTGGATGTATGTATGGATGGATGGATGAGGCTGAACCCTTTGAATAGGGCGGCGGCTTGCGCCACCCAGCCAGCGTCTTTTTTTTTTTTTCTTCTAACATTTATTTATTGATTCCTAGTAAAGCCACTCAGCGGCCGTTTATAGCTTGCGTCAGCATTTTTATCGTCGCGTCTCGCAGCTTTTCACAATGAGCGCGACGCTAAGCACGCGGTGACGCCAATGTGAATGCCTCTGCCGCTTTGCATCGTCTCTCGCCGACCCTCGCGTGTTTGTCGCTTGGGAAGTAGGGGGCACTAAGGAAGACGCCATGCGCAAACCTCGTGTTCGGGGTGGTATTGGTCCCTGGCCGCTCTGTGGTATTCTGGATGGTATTGGCTCCTTTCTTAAAAGTGTACGGACCTACGCCATGGTGGGCTCAATAACGTCTAGCGCTCATCCCACATGGAAGGCAGTTTCTCCAGGAACCGTAGTACATTGAAACAAATAAAATAAGGAATAGCTTTTTTTTATTTCGCCTACTATATTTCTTTAATGCTAAATTTCCAACCTGTTAATATACGTACTTTCCGTCATACTTTCATACTGTTCCGTCCTTCCCCCAGAGCGCAATCGCTCTCAAGGAGGACACAACAGAACATCGCAGAGCAGTCACATTGGCCAGTGTACCATAAGAGCTACGTTTCAGATCAGCGCTCCACATGACTATCCGCAGGTCTATCGATTGCACCGTTATGCCTCAAACGGCCTTAAACTCTTTGATGTAACAAGGCATGTAGTTGGGCTAGTTGGCAGTACATACTGTTTGGTGGGAACAGCGCGAAACAGACGTACTACCAGGGCGAAGAAGCACACTGCGAGGGCGCTGTAATGTAGGGCGAAATATCACCCTCCGACCGCCCCCCCCCCCCTCCCCCCTCCTCCTGATACTCGAAAACACGGCCATATCGGCGATAATTCCAGTCTTGTGTTCTCAATGGAAAACGCTGCCATCGCGATGTTGCTGCTATGTTGGTGACACGCAGAAATACAGAACTACGTTATTTGCCGGTTGGTCCCCGGAATCGGAAAACAGAACTCTAATTGGCACAGAAGGCACCCAGGCACCCGGCAGCAAAACCTGCCTGTCTTGGACGCAGTTTCCGCGGTTTCCAAATTGTCGTCAACGTCAAAACCTTGTTCCGCATTCCGGAGGCGGCCATCTTAGTCCAGTGTACGTAACGCTGATGGCACTGCTCCGGAACTTCGCTGTTTCTAACGGCTTCGTTTGCTCGTTTGATAAATTTGGCCGTGTAAAAACGTCAATGCAACCTTATTGTTTTGCACGTTTGGGCGGGGAGACGGAATTACAGTCGGTCTTCGCTTCCATTGAAGCTCACAACATTTATCAAACAACGCGCGGGACGTGTTCAAAAAACGAAACCGTAAGAAGATGAAGCGGGAGAGTGGAACAAATTATTGAACTAGCCGCAAACGCATATCTCTTGAAACTGTCACAATGGCTTCAAGGCAATAGATTGCAATTAAACTCAAACAAAACAAAATACATAATTTTTAAACTAGTAAATAAACGGGACGCCGATAGTATAAGCATCAAATTTGAAGGCTTGGAACTGGAACAAGTAAGCGAGCAAAAATGTCTTGGTGTGTGGTTTAGTGAGGAATTGTCATGGAGTATTTATATTACCAAGTTAAAAGGTGACCTGTCGAGAATTATAGGCACTTTGTATAAAATCTGAAATTTTATCCCGTGTTGAATGCTTAAGAATATGTATTACTCTTTGTTTTTTTCAAAACTAAGCTACGCAATTTTGGTCTGGGGGACCAACAACGGCCTCAAACTATGATAAATTGATAGTGCTTCAAAAAAGAATTTTACGTATGCTCGAGGACTACAAGTGGGATTACAGGAATCTACGTACGGAACCTCTGTTTTTAAAACACCACATGTTTAGGGCGAATCAAACATATTACTTTAAACTGCTTCAATTATTCCACAGAAATAAAGCCTACCTAACGCAAGAAAGTGAACTAAGACCAGTGTACGATTTATTCGACGACCGAAACGAAAAGTGCCTATAATACGAACTAATTACGGCCGACAAAGTTTAGCCTTCCAGACTGCTGCAACTTTGAATTGTGTCGTACTGGAATTAAACTTTGATGTTTCAATATCCCAATTTAAAAGAGATTGTAAAACAAATTTACTGTGCAGTGCTCTCACATTTTGTTAGATACTGCTGGTCTTTCTTGAAACTGCAATCATATTTCGTTAGCAATGATCTTACCTTTCTCGTTACTTCGTCTTTCGAACGGCAGTGTATAAAAACTTTATTAATATTTTGAAATTCTTTCTTTTGTAGCTTCATGTTTTTCGGCATAATTTTGGTAAATTACATGTTGTATAAACTTGCGTAAAACTGTTGTGATCTAGAGTATTAAATCATACCGCGCTTATGTATCTAATACTTAACTGTCTAAGTATGTCTAGGATATAAAACTGTACATTTGGCAGTATTAGATTTGGCTCTTGAACTTATATGAATTTAATGTATATGTACTTGATATGTATGATGTATTATATGTGTATGATGTATTGTATATGTATATTGATGCTCGCTGCATACCAAGAGGGGGCTAATGCCTTGTCAGGCACTCGTGCCTTCAGCCTTACACCCCCTCTGCGGAACATGTATCCGCAGACAGAAAAAAAGACAAAAAAATCTTGCAATACACTGCAACAGTTGTGGGTGTGCCCCGAAGTTTGGCAACACTATTATCTTAGCCAGAAACCGGAACAAAACTACAAGGGAGATATCTGAAGCGTTTTTTTCATAACGAAGTGCGTTGAAGGCACGTCTTCCAGCGCTCCATCGATAGCCCCGTTTGACTCTGAGGTGGAGATTTAAAGTCTTTCGAAAAGTAAATGGTAGATAGATAATTACTGGTGTGACGATGTTGCAGTTCTTTCATCAATGGCTTGATTTTACGGTGTGCACATCTGTGTTTTTCACGAGTAAACTTCAGTTGCAAGTAGCGCTTTGTGGTGTTGGTCTCTTTCACTTGTTCGGTCTTTTTTTAGCGCTTTTCCCCTCTGAACTAGGAATCACCAACTAGCCCAAGTGTATACCCTTCTACACAGCTAACACACTCGTTTTGGTTCAAAGCGTGGGAATGTCAACGTTTCCAAACTTAGAGTTTATCCTTTTTGTTGTTGACAGAACGAGAATTAATTTGGTTTGAAGAGAAGGATGGGACCAGCTGGAGTAGCAAGGGACGCTGAGGAAAAATCCTTTCGAGCGTTGGCAGACTGTTGCCTTCTGAACGGATGTCTCTTTCCTGCGAGACAGCTGCTCAAGGCACGGGGAAGGTGATCTAAGCAGCTTCTATACCGAGACTGCACCAATGACGCTTAGAGGTTCCGCGTATAGTGATAATCTCGCGCCTTTTGGGCCAGGTCATAGGAACGTTAAAAATGTCTTCCGAAGCAGTTTGAAATGACGCCACTTATACGTAGCTTTGTTGGGGTTCCTTTTCCACTTTTACGCAGTGAAAAGAATGCCTTTTATTTTCAAACAATATTGCGGACATTTTTATCCAAAGGTAAGAAGTAACGGGTATAAAGTAATTTTATAGGAGGTTCCGCAAAATAATAATGACTATCACTTTACTCGCTAGCCATTTGGGATTCAAATGACTAGCGTTAGTCAAAAAACTTGTAACGACGTTATAAGTAACGTCGTTACTTGTAACGCGTTAGTTCCAACACTGCTCCTTCTCCAGGCAGACGGGAGAAAGGTTCCACCTCCCGCTTCATCTTCTTACGGTTTCGTTTTTTGAACACGTCCCGCGCGTTGTTTGATAAATGTTGTGAGCTTCAGCGGCAGCGGAGACCGCCTGTAGTCCAAACGTGCAGTCCAAACGTGCAGAACATTTAGGTTGCAGTGACGTTTTTGCGGTGCTAATTTTATGAAACGAGAAAACAAAGCCGTTAGAAACAACGATGTTCCGTATAGGGAACTTCGTTAGGGTGACCACCTTCCTGCTAGCGAAATGCGGGACATTTTTAATGCTATATTTTAATGCTAAATTTGCTATGACATGTGTCGATTTTGAAACCGTAAAAATCGACTGCAGCAGAACTCGCTGCATCAATTGCAAATAAGAAACTGCAAATCTTTTTCGGGTTATTATTTCCTGTCAACGCTTACTTTTATGAACATGGTCATACACACATTTTTAGCATTATGTTCTTTTCGACCTTTGTGACCTGCAGGCTTTTTGCCTTGTGTGGTTGTCTTCACTAAAAATAAATTCCACAACAACACTTTCGCATTGACAGAGCGATATGAAAATAATTACAATACT